TTGCAGAAGAATCTTGTTCTGTAGTACACTTTTTGACGTCACACTGTAATGACGTCACTATGCCATACTCGTCTTCCCCTTGGTAACCGAAGTCACGATGCATGTCAGTTGTCATCGCCTCGTACAGCCTCCTAAATTAAGCTATTAAGCACCACCCGTTTCTTAGTTTGCAGTTGCTTCACTCGGCTAATCTCACTGGTGGAAACTTTGCACTTATGTTTTTTCAACGCATATAATGCCTCAGTTCGACTAACAATTAAACGGCGATATGGCAACGTTCGCAATGTTTACATTCCCACAATGCCTATAAGTTTTAGAATGAATGAATTCACGTGTTTGTTATGAATGAAAAAGTAGTTCCGTCACAACGTGACCTAATTGAGGGGTCATCGGTTATCCAATCAAATTGCTAGAATCTCAGGTCAAGTCGTTACGACACAGGTCAACACGATACGACACTCGTGTGACGTACAAGATTAGTATGCAACTACCCATACGTTGACCATGTGGGTAATAAATTGTAGAATCTAAGCTATATTTTGAATTTGAATACCTGGAGAGGTCAACTATGGACCATTGACAAGAAGGAGAAATGTCTTCATTTCGGCTTCAATTAGCACGTATACCTTTGGGTATATCTATAAGGTGTAACATGCTGTAACTAGCAAATAACAATTGACATTGAAATGTAAAGATATTTTCACAGGTACAAATACATGTATGTGAAAATTAGTGAGGTGAACAGCTATGATTTGGTAGTTATACAGCTGAATCCCAGACAAATAGGCTAGAGTAGAACCATGAAACAGACAAGGTATCCCTCGGCTATAGCTAGGAATGTTTTTCTACATTGCATGACCAAAGACTAGGGCTGCACGGTATTACCGTATACCGGTAAACCGCAATACGACATTGAAACAATTATGTATCGCGATACGTTTATGATGTACCGGTAAACCGACAAAGATTTATTTGTTCAATTTTAATCCATTCAACACCTCAGGTAAGACTTCCGCCCGTATAGCCCCTAAATGTTAATGGTGAGGAAAACGATATATACGTATATTCAGGTAATATGGGTGGTGGTGGTGGGTGGGGATTGGGTGGAAGTCTTTCCAAATGATTGGCAATTGGTCCACTTAAAGATTGTCAAAGAGCAAAGTATCGATGTTTCGAGGAAATCATTAAAATTGAATAAACTAATAAATAAAATCTACTGCAGTTGTCATAAATGTTGTCAAACGTACATTTAAGTTACTATTTCCATATTTTTGTGCACGATCATGTTATGCAAGTCAAGTGACATCTCGGCTTTCGTCGCATCGATCTTCATGCTCAGACACGATGTTTAATGTGAAACAAATTGCATAAAGAATATTTGTCACAGGTCACTTTCGAACGATACCCGCCATCACATGAATCTTCTCGAGTGTTATTCATACGGGGCTTCGAAATCAGAGGCATTTCCCAATGTTGTGTCGTGTTACCGGGCGAAAAGCCACAGCTATCAGGAAATAGGCGACGATACATATTATTTAATTAATATTTTTATAATAATTTTCTGATTACGTAAAAATTAAAATATATAAGAAATAGGCCAGAGGATATTACGAAATCTTACAAATGGATAAAATAGCGGGAGTTTTCGTCTCCTTCGTGGTTTATCTGGACATTATAAGTGTGTAAACTTGTATTTTTATTAGAAATAAACTTTTTAAGTTGAAGTTGTATTATTTGAATAATATGTTAAAAATGCCTTTGGTATTTATCAACAGTTGGATTAGACCTAAATTATTGTAGTAGCAATAATGTTTCACAAGCTGATATTTTCCTTCACACACATTGGCTTCTATCTTACTATAAGACTATGTTTTTGATGTTTCATTTTTTTCATTATTCCATTCAGTTTAAAGAAAGTTTACTTTACCTAATACAGAGAGACTTTTGCCCACCTTGAGTGCTTTGTTAAATCATTTCTTTATGAGAAAGTGTACCAAGCGTCATTCATGAATTAGGCAATGTTAATAATACTTTTATTCAAAGACATAGGTGCATAAATCATTGTTTTGATTAGAATGTTCACTTCAAGATCATGTCACATGATTGTGACTTCAATTAATTTTTTCTTGAGTAATACAGATGTGAACAGTAGCTCAGGCTTTTTAAACTATCTGAAGTTCAACATCCTTTGCTGTTTAAAGAAGTTAAATATATAAATAAACTAACGGGCAAAAGAAACAATACCAAGTCGTAATCACTGATATTACAAAAATGACAAACCACCACTGTGTAAAAGGAAAGTGAATTTTAATAACAGGTGTATGGGCATGTGTATGCACATGCATGTTGCTCATACACCTATTGTCAAAATTCTCTTTCCTTTCACACAATGGTGGTTTGTCGTTTTGTAATATCAGTGATTTTAACTTAGTATCGTTTCTTTTGCCCGTTAGTTTAGTATGGGTGGGTTGATGGAGGACATGGCGTAAGCTAGTTTCAGTTGATTTTGTCATATATATGAAATGAGAAATCATACATTTATCTGTTAACTTTCCCTTGGACAGCAGTTACCTTTAAAAGAAAGACTTGTTGAAAGTTTTTTATAGTAAAGTGTAGGGCTAGTAATATTTGGAAAGGACTACAGTGGACTCTGTCAATACCGGCCTCTCTTAACACCGGCACTCTGTCTACATCGGCAGAAAGTTTCAGTCCCGGCAGAAATGCACGTTATTATCATTTAGAAACCTCTGTAAACATCGGCATCTGTCTATTCAGGATATCGGCATTGTTTTTCAGTCCCAACGAACAAGTTGTTATGAAAACGAATCTGTAAAAACCGGCACATGAAAGACGGCGTAACCCTTTGATGCAATTAGGTCCAAATGATGTAACAACACAATTCGTTGTGACTCCCGAGATTATTCAGAAACGGGAAGTGTTAATCAGTATCTTGTTAATCAGTGAGTGGCACGTGTCACTTACATAGAGGCGAATCGTTTGATGGCGTGTATCGTTCGAAAGCTCTGAACATCAACAATATCACTGTACTCTTGCCGAGAGTATTTTCACATTTGTAAGAAGCGATTTTATTGGATAAAGATTGGTTTCTAACGACGCTTTTTTCACTACACTCTGCTTATAAGGGTCGTGATTGGTCAAAATCAGACACGTGACCTAAGCAGCCAATCATATTATGGAAATGGATACCGTCCTCGTAAACGAAAAGTTTTAGATTAAGACGAAAGTTTTTGGGTAAAATAATGCTATTCTGAACATATTAAGAAAGACATCGCTACCTATACGTAAATCATGGAACGTATTGGACATATCGTGCTAAGCACGATTAAGCATCGTGTGAAAGCCGAGATGTAACTTGTCAGTGACTTGACTTACATTGCATGATCGCTCAAAAGAATGGAAATAGTAATTTTATATGTACGTTTGACAACTTTTATGAATGTTATTGTTGATTTCAATTTATTTAATGATTTCCTTGATGTTTGAAACATCGTTACTTTGCTCTTTGACAATGCTATTGTAGACCCGCTGCCGAAGCATAAACAAGAATCGTTGTTTGCAATAACATTGCGAAAAATAGTTTATAATTTTAATTCTGCCGATAATATATGATCAGTTGAAATTTAATAAGAGATTTCAGACATTTTTATTTGATTTAAACAACATGAATGTGCATTCAGACACTGCCTTGTTTCTTATTCAAACATCTTGTTAATGCTAAAGTGACAGTACGACAGCGAACTTCCGTGTGCGCAGGCGTCATAAGCGAACCTAGCTAAACCGGCACTCTGTCAAAACCGGCATTTTTACTTGGTCCCGACTGATGCCGGTATTGACAGAGTACACTGTAGTTACATACAAAATGTTTAGTGACAGTCGCTCCCTGCTGTTTTAAAATAATAATATAAACAGAAGAATGTTCTGGTTTTTCCTTTTTCTTGCTTTGAAAGAATCTATACAATGCACAATGGTTACTCGCATATACTGTGATTCAATCTGAAGGTAAAAGAATATTACAAAGTGGACAGATCTCAATAATTGTTCTTTCACAATATATCTCAATACGTATCGCAATACAGAAGAGTGTATCAAATTTCAGGCAATACACAGCCCTACCAAAGACCAATTGAGTTATCATAAGATAGACAGAATTAAAACATAGAATTTATGGCTTACAGATTACAAGGTTCTTTCTTCGTCATTCATCTTTTTTGAGTGAATGATGAAATTGTGCAATCCATGATTAAGAAACCAGATAACTTATGACTGACAATAACTGTCATGCTTGGGAAGTTTACGGATGCTTTAATCACACTCACTGGGGTTGCAACTGAGTGGGCTTGTCAGAGTGATTGAATTAATTATGGTCAACCACTTCACTTGGAACCACATGTTATATCTTGGACTGATTTAGTGGGATTAGAGAGAAAGTATTTGTCAAATACAGGCCTAAAATGATGTATTTTGGGCCAGTCTGATTAAATTATAATAATTTAATTGTCTGGTTAAAATCTTTGTCTGCTTTTATAAGTGTATTGTTCAAATCATATTCTTCATCCAGTCATATTTCATATGTGCATGTAGATGTCAGATACGAGAAACACATTTCTTACTGTGAACATTTGAATTGTTAATGAAAACAAGTACATATCATCCTGACAGTCATAATTTCATAAAAGTTGAAAAATAACATGTAGCATAATTTCTCCTTCCTATCTCTCAAACTATTGGTGTCTTCTGCTTGCTGAAGTGACACTGAAAGCATGTTAAAAGGTTTATGATTGGCTTATGCTTCTATTTCCACATTCTAAACCTTTCATAATGTGACAGACAAGGTATGGACAGTAAAACACAAGTGTATTCACAAGAATGTTGTCATTCCGAAAACCAAAATCCACATGCAGAAATCACAACATTAAAGACTTAATAGGTACTAAATATGAAGATCGTCATAAAAAATGTCTAACTTATTTTCCACTTACATATTTGTTGGGTCAATCTGTCGATATGCATATGCTGAACAGGCTCCACAGTAAGAATACCCTGCATGGCTGGAAAATAAAGAAAGGGGTTATTTACTACATTTACCATGTTTACAGCAACCTTAATAAACCTTGTAATGAAGTCTATAGCAACAGGGGTGGAAATAACTTTAAATTGCTAGTGTACTCCGGTACAGTGGCACATGTAAAATCACTTGCCCTGATAATTTTTCCACTATACCGGCCGTTTTCTTGTTGATTTTTTAAATAAACAACATAATTAATATTGGAAAGTCAACTGGACACCAGTACAGTGTGATATACAAATTTGCTTGCCGGAAAAAAACACTGGACTGGGGCGTCGGGCAATGGGTTATTTCCACCCCTGAGCAATTAGGGAAGAACAGCTCAGAACTGATTCAACTGTGTGTGGTGTGTTGAGAGGACAAGTGGACAAATTAACCATTATGACCATGATGACCTTACTTGAATATTTATTCAAGTCTGACAAAGGTTCTCAAACGGGCAAAGAAAGTAATAGACAATGGAAGAGACTACATGTTTGTGTTTTTAGTACATTAATTTTTACAGATGCTTATATGGAATCCACAGGAATGCCACACATTTGTCAGCTACACAGGGAGTAGTCCAGAGACAGAACCCCTTTTGCTTCAGCCATATCTTGGCAATGTTGTAAATAGAGGGAGAGGATTCCTAAGAATGAAAGTAACAATAGATATCATTATTAAGAATTCTAAGAATACTATCTGTATTACATCATACTTATTCGCTACCTCCTCCTCTGTGTCTGGAGAATGGATGTGTAGAAAGATGTTTGAAAACTCTATAATAAATTGTATACTTATAACATCTCACACTTCGCATCTCTCCATTCTTTGTCGATCCTGAGGGGAAACGTGGTTGAAACTGTATGAATGTTTCCAGTATCAAATCACATCACCCAAACACATTTGATAGTTAAAATAGCAAGTACCGTACTATAAATACAACAGTATGAATACACACTGACATTTAGAATGTGGTCAAATGGAACATACATTATATTTGGGATTACAACAGTATGCTATGATCTCTCCCTGATGAACTCTTGAACACTTTAAGTTGATCCATCCACATCATTATGTCATTATCCTTTCCAACAACTTGACAAGTGGTATGGTCCAACACTGCATTAAAAGGATTCAAGGCTGAGTCCTCCCCAAAAGTACATCGTAAATGACCAACTGCCGAATTCTACAGAAACATATGCTGAAGAGATAGCTTGTATGAAGGTATATACACCAGTTCTAACTGACAAATCCCTACTATCCTCAAAGTCTGTATAATATAATCCTCAACAATCTCTGATCGTATGTAAGATCTTGTCCAAAAGCATTCAAATGACCAGAGAGACATTGATCCGGAAACACAATCCTTTCATCAGCTTTTACCATCCTGATTCTCATAACATCACAATTCTGGCCCCAATTTCTCGAAACGAACTTTTACTCAAATTTCAAACTGAGTTTGACAAGTTAAAATGACTGAATTTTTAACTCGACAGCATTTTTAAAATAAAGTCCAAGCAACTTAAGTAATCTATCCACCAAACTCAAATTCCTTACTATGTTTGAGTTTAATATCGATTTCAGTTCATTCTGGGAAATGCATTTTTCTGCATTTTCTCAAATTTGAGTAAAAACTCTAACATAAGTCAAATCTCAGACTTAAGTTTGTTTCAAGAAATCAGGGCCTGGTCTTGAAACAAATACTTATTCTGATTCCAATATTCGTGACTATACTTTTTCCGATATTTTTAACGATCCTGATCCGATCCTGCTCAACATTCACATTACAATTCTCATACTGATCTTTGTACTGATCCTCACAACCATCCAAATAGTTGATCCTATGATCACTGTCTCAAACATTCCTATCCCTTGAACCTTGAAGCCTAGTAAGCCGGGAAGTATATCTGTGGTGCATGTAGTAAACACAACATAAAGCAATTCAACTACATCTTTGAGTGAATGGATAGTGCTTGGCAATTTCTGTGCCTGAGATGGTCAAAATCAGACTAGAATGCAATGTGATGTTTGCTTTTGACCCTCAAATCCCTTCACAAGCAATAAAGATATAACAACCTTTCAGAATTCTACATTACCACAACACCAAAATGCAAAAACTGACACTGACGTATTTACAAGTTGCAGCTTTGTTAGTAACTTCAGCCTTGTTGAGAACATGTCAGAATGCTCTACATCACAGTCAAGTCAAATAAACATTAATACAAACAGTAACATACATTCTAAGATGCTTCGTTAAAAGATCAATGGCACAGACAGTACTTTATGAGGTGACAAAGTACACTATTTTGTAGTGGTGTTCCAATGATCGATTATAATCCAAAATTGATTGGTTACCCTATCCCGACGAGACAATCCATTGCAAAATTTCATAATCGATTGTAATAATTTTTACGAAAACAGAAATGAATACCCAACTCAGACCACAAGACAACTGGCAGTTACCGATAATTATAACTTCTATCCGCATTATTCACAGAAATCATAATCGTATTGTGTCTACTCACGCCGCGACAGAAAATGGATACGTATATATATTTTGTTTTGCTAAATGTCATATTTATTGGAGCTGGCGATCACAACAAACTGTCATGTGTATTTCACCTCATTCCATGCGTGTACAACTGCCGCTTACCATGTTCATGAGGGTATGCTCCAATCGCGATAGCACCAATTCCACATTATTCTCAACAATCACAAACTGATTACCACCTTGTCATCCATGGACCGCTACAGTAGTTGGCCATAAGTGAGTCACCATTAGTGAAATTTCCATAGGCTTACATGTTAATTAACTGTTGCACAAATAATTTTCATAAATTTGATAGAAGTCATTTTATTTTGATATTTGCAAATATCTTGGAATCATCTTCAGCTAAGTGTACAAAATTTTCTTTCATCTTTCCGTTGATTAGTTAACGAATGACACCTGATTAAGTACCATATATAAGTACAACTTCTAATCTATCCAATAGACAGCCATGTTAAACCTGATTGTTATGTCTAATATATGTTGTTTAAATAGTTGCAGTTTTCTTAACAATCATTGGAAAATTGAATGGAAATTATGTGTATGATTTCCCAGCTGGTAGATAAGTATTGAATACAATTCAACCGAAACTAAATTTATGAAAAAATTATTCTTGCAAGACTTAATTAACATGCAAGTCTATGGGAATTTCACTAATGATGATTCACTTATGGCCAACTTCTGTAGTTTACAGTAACATCAGTGAAAACGTGTGTGAAATGGCATGCTTATTTCACCTCATTCCATGCGCGTACAACTTCTGCTTACCATGTTCGTGAGGTATAACCTTAGTGTTGATTATACATATTTTACATTTATATAGTAAAACCTGGAAGTAAAATTACACAATGGTAAGATATATTTCTCTTGGTAAAAAAGTAGTTTGAGATATTATATTTCACCGATCACTGCGTTGGAATTCATCCTGTTATAGTACTGGGTATGTTTCAACAAGATCCCCGGGAAATGTGTATACAGCTGATAGCTATTTTCGGCTCTATATATGAGACAAATACACACAGTATTCTTATTTTCTGCATATAAGACAATGCCCAGCAAAAACAAATTAATAACTGAAAAGGTAAATAATCTTGTCTAGTGATGTTTAATTGCAAATTGGACATCTTCACTGACAGTCATTTTCTCTTTATACTTTTGAGAAATGATACGATGTCCAGAAAAATAAGTTCGACGAAAGTGTTACCCGTAGATAAGCTGACTCCCTTTTACAGGCTTTTTTTGGGGGGTGGGTCTTCAAAATTCGGCTTATCTATGGTAATATACGGTATTACCTTTCTTTGAAATGACTTCAATGAGTTTAAATGTATAAAACTCGATCTTTGTGGTCAAGCGAGCAGACAGTCACTTCTTGTGCTTTTCCCTTAGAGAATAATGCCTTTATTTACGTATCCATATTTATGTATCTAAATAAATAGTAATAGTAGAACAGTAGTACCCAGATGTAAAAGTTGGAGGGGAGGTTTCATACCCCTTGGTTGAATGTTTTTGATTCACTTTTCTAGTCAGTCACCGGCATTTAGTCATGTAGTGTTTTATGACATCTCACAAGATCTGTTGTTTGTTGAGTGGTTGGTAACTGATGCTGTTGATGGTAAATAATAAACAACCATGGAAGAAGCCCTTTGTGTACCTCTACATGTTCAACCATCTGTCTCAGAACTGTACTTGCTTACCTTTAGAAGTCTGAGACAAACACATGACCTTGTGTAATATATTTATTATTCAGAGGGTATTCTTGTAATTTAATTTAACAGATTATTAATCGGTTGGGCCTATCTGATTGTAACCGATGATTCCCACCACTACTATTTTGTAGTATGTCACACTGTACTACGGCATTCTTTTCTTTTGAAAGACGCTGTTGGTTCCAAATGAATTCCCGTGCTTCAAATACTCAATAACACCCGGAAATTGGCCAACACATGATGTTTATCGACATTGTAAATACAAAAGTAAACCAAAAGGTCCACAAAGGTTTTTGTGTCTGCACTCATTAACATTGTGTACGGGTACAGCAGTGAAATGTCATCAACCTGCCGTTTCGGCTGTCTCTCATGGTAGCATCTGGAACTGCTCATTTGTGACGTCATTCGGACTTTATGTCACAATATGATTTTAATGACGCTCATCACAGCTGACGACTTAACAATACAATGGTGTGAGCAATTTTGTATGTATTAATACGCAGCAAATTTCCGGGAATCGAATACCATTTGATCACGTTTTTCAACCAATCAGATTAAAGAACACAGTGCCTTTGGGTTTACAATTGGGATTACACTTTCTCAGTAAAGTACAGATTCTAGTACTTTTTGGGTTGAGTCCCATCCGGGATTCGAACCCGCACCCTCAGAGTCAGGCACCTAATCGCCAGCACACAAAGTCAGACGCCTAGACCGCTCAGCCACCGCTGGGACTCAACCCCAAAAGTA